GAAAAAGGCAACTAAAACACAGCAAACACATCTCTCTGTGAGCTGCTGGCTGATTCCCAAATTGATGATTCCAGCTCTTCCCACCTCTTCTCCCAGCCCTGGAAAAGTGGGACCTGGGCTTCCTCTGAGCACTTCCCTCACCAGTGCCAGGACTGCTCCAGAAAGAAGGAATCATCCCAGAAAAGCCTCTAAAAGTCATTAGCAGAAAGTTCCCACCAGTTAAACCAATTTTGTTTTTTCCCAACTGCCTTAAAACCGTGGCGAGAAACTTCAGGTGAGCGCGCGAAGAGAATCACTCGGTGCTTCAGGCGGCACAACGAACACGGAGGGTTTATATTTTCAAACAAATACCGTATATTTATCACCTGTACGTTTACACGAACAGCTCAGTGTCTGTTTTAATGAAAAGGAGAGGGTTTTTATCCCCTGATCGCCGCCGTTTGTTCCGCGCCGCGTCCCCGCTGAGGGCCGGCCCCGCCTGAGGCGCCGTGGCCGGGGGGAGGGCGCCCCCTGCCGGCCGCGCTCGGGGACCCGGCGGGGGAAAGAAACCGCGCTAAAAACGGGGCTCACAAAAAAAAATTATCCCGAATTATTCCATCGAAAACTTAAATTTTAAAAGAGCCGAGTTTCTCCGCTGCGGACAAACACGGCAGTGACACCATAGGAGTGTTAAAATCACGTTAAAACTGCGGCTTACTTTGCTGTTTTCACGCAAATTGCTTTTATCGTGCGAGGCTACGAAGAGAAAAATTAGAGTTAATAGAGAGTTTTGAAAAGTCGTTTTCACCTCGTGTTCATAGCATTTCACGTTAAACTCCGTGAAGGAACTGCCCTCCAGTGCTTTAAGTTATTAGACAGTTAATTTTCTTTGAAACTATTTTTGTCTGCCTCTCTCTAAATAGGTGGTTTCTTAAGTGAGTGTTACTTAAAGGAAACCAATCTGTTTTTCAGGAAGGGCTGATGATGTCAGTCCTTTCAACTCTGCTTTCCCATAAGAATTCTTCTAGTAAAAGGAGTTTCACTCTGGGAAATAGTGAAAAGTAACGTGAAAATATGTAAAGCATCTCAGGCTSCATGTTTATCAAACTTGCAGTTTTATGCTCGGATTTTAATCATGTTGYGATTGTGACAAATAAAGGAAAAGCGAGAGAAAACCTTTTGATTTTTAAACTTGGGAAAGATTTTGCAATGAAAAACGTGCCATACTAAAATATTTATAAAGAGATAAATACAAGCCTGAATGCGCTGTATCAAGAACAACATGGCTTTTTCATAATTCTAAATTTATATACTCCATCCCAGCATCGGTATTAAATCTGAAACAGAACCACGGYGTACTATGAACAGTTTTTTGGCAAATAAATACATACTTCAATCCCCAATGAAATGCAAGACAAATTCAGAGAGTATCATATTATTATGGAATATTTTTAGTAGGTGTGGATGTGTAGCTGTAGATCCAATGTTAACTTACTGGATATTATTTGTTCTGGTACTGGAAATTCCTGCAGCCAACAACAGAGAAAACCTGCGAGCTGAGCTACAGGGACTTTATTTCACTTACTGGTGGTGCAAGAATTAACGACAATAAATTCTGTAAGTAAGTTCTGTAAATCATAATTTGCAGAATTAATAAGATATATATAGTTTTCAACTTTCCAAGTAAAACATTACATTTTAAAAGCTAAATGCTCCTTGTTATTCACATTTTGGTGTCCTGTAGAGAACAGGGAGAGGTTTGAATCACCAAGAACATGGTTCTGCTTTAATTACTCATCCCTCAGTCCTTATGGTTCACCTGTGACACAGGTAAGGACCACAAACCCCATTTTTCACAAGTAAAAAGGTCACCTCAGGCTGTATTTTACCCTAATGTTCACCCCCACGACCAARCCATGCTGTAATAGTCTTATAATAGTAAAAGCCCATAAAAGGATCCCAACCTAACTCAAATATTCCTGACAACACGCTCAGGCAATCCAAGGGAATGACAAAAATACAACCTCGCTGGGTTAACAGACAGAGCAGCCCAAACAAAATCTCTGTCGGCTGTAAAAGGTGCAAAGGAAACATCCCTTCATCATCCTCTATTCAACAGTTTACTTCACTCTGCCCAAAAGAACAAAGGCGAAGGATGATTCACTTGGAAATGAAATCATCCCTACCCCCAGTAAAGCTGACATTGTGTGGGTAAACAGTGCTGGGGTGCTCCGACACAATGTAAATAGATTGCCTTGCTACTATATACACAGAAAASCGTTTCGTTTCCAAACCAGGAGGCAAAAAAACAAGCGAGAAAAATACGGCAGAGCCCCAACTCTGAAAATATTTACAGGAACAAAAGCCAATCACGAGTTCCCATCAATAACTTACGGTTTCTAATCAAAAGGGAAGATAAGCCAGTGCAGCCTTTTTGCCTAAGGTTGTAGCAATGGTTTTGTAATGCAAAAGGAATATCAGCAGAAGGATTAACAGCAGCTTGTTTTAACTTCGGATTTACTGAAAATTTTCTAGATTGGAAAAGATGTAAGAGGAATATCGTGCTGACATGGCTTCACACAGAAAAGTCCTGCCGTTTGCCACAATCTCCTCTGAATCAGTCACTTAATCAACACCTCGTGCTGCTCTCCAGGACGTGCTCTTTGGTTTTATTTCCTTTATAATCAGCTGCACTTCGAGGGCTGATTAGGGACTATAACAGTTATTCTTCTTGAAGAAAGCTACCAAATTAAACTCATTCCACACGTGGGGAAAACAGAGGTTATTCCTGTTGTCACACAGCAGAAAGCTGACAGGCAAAATCAGCTGAATAAAACTCAACAAGGGCTGCAGAAGTAAAGCAAAGAATTAAACCCAGAACTGCTCTTTTCTGTTTCGAGTGCTCGTTTACACTTCTGTCACCAGACTGCCGAGACTCCTCCAAACAACAATAATTTAACATTATAATATGGTAGGGAGCTGTTACAATCTGAATAAACACATCTTAGCTCACAAATTAAAATAATCATCGGGCTCTGGCTAATCCAGCTGCCACAAACACACACACACACTCACAATTCCTCTGCTGAAAGTCGCTCTGAACTTCAGGGGTTTTTTGCAAGTTGATGATAAATGGCTTTTTATAAAAAGCTTAGAAYAGGGTTCAATATCCTGCCTGCCTTCAGCCAGAGGAACTGAAAGATTACTGAAATGAGAAAAGCAGCAATAAAATTACTGAAAATATTACAATATTTTACCAAATGGACTCTTTCAAACACAACTATTATATTTTTTTTCCCCTAATATTTTTTTCTAAGACATCTCTGCTAAATCCTCTACTCAATTCCCACCAATTTCTCATGGAAAACTTTCAGATGGAGTTTTGTAAGTTACCAACACAAGTCTTAGCATGTGTCCAAATTCAATGAGGGAGTGCTGAGCACAATCTGTGTGAAATCCTGCAGGAATCAAAATCACCATCCTGCCTTAATTCTCAGCTTCCAATGGAGCTGATTGTAGCTAATTTTCAAACAGTGATGACTGCACAGAGATTGAAAGAAATCTGATTTATTATCATGCAAACTGAAGCCTCAGAACTCTTGGGACACTCCCCAAAATTCTGCTGCCTTTCTCTCAGAGAYTCATCCATGCATCCCTGTCTCCTGCCTCCACCACTGAGCATCCCCAAACTGCTGATTCCTCTTTTTAAAAAGTGTCAGATCTATTCAAAACTTCAAATGGACCTCACAGTGCTGTGAAGGCAACAACTCACTGCAATCTCCCTCGACAGAAAATAGAATTGGCTGGGTGAAAGCCACACAAATTGACAGCTCCTTCCTCTCCTCTCCATGATGTCCACACTTAAAAGGGGTTGGATGTGCCACAGCAAACCTTTAGAGCACTCCCTGGACTGTTCCAGGCTGAGCTGCTGYACAGAGATGAGAGGAAGTGAAACACAAGTGTCTCCAAGGAGGAAGAAAGTTCAGAGCACATTTTGGGTGCCTTCCAGTGGCTCCAGGCAGAAGAGGATGGCTCCAGAACAGCCACGAACAAACCTTTGTTCGGAGAAGCCCAAAGAAAGGAGAAAATACAGAGGCTGTCTCTGAGACAAGTCTGGTTCCCTAAATAATCCACAAGTCATAAAGCAGTGCCTTTGATTCAGAAATCCCACAAAGGTTCTCTCTATAGCAGGAAGCCCAGCACAGAGCTGGGCTTTCACAAGCTCTCCTAATCCTGCTCATAATTAGAGAACAGGGACTGTTCCTGGCCATTTTTAGGACTCAGTCTGGATAAAAGGGTGCCTACCCCAAACAAACTGCTATTCAAACTCCCACTCCCATGGAAGTTGTGACTTAGTCTCAACAGAAAGGAGGCACGAGGATGCAGCAAATCCKGAATCCAAACAAAGCAGCTCAAGCACACATCTTATGAAAGAGAAWGGCAGAAAGGACAAAACTGGAGAAGCTGTGACAATGACAACTTTTGAATATTTTTAAGGCTCCCCATTGAGTTTCCCCAAGGCACATCTACCACAGGAGCAGGATGGAAAGATCCATTCTTACAGATTTTTTTACCTTTTCATATAATTTGTCATATTGTTCCCACACACACACAAAAAGGGGACAAAATTCTGTGCCATCAGCTCCCCACTGCCTCATTCCACACCTCTCCTWGAGCAGTATTTATTGTAGACATCCAGAAGTGCTTTGTGCTCATCAAGGCTGATTTTAGGCAGTGAAATTCTTTGAATACAGACCAGATTACTGTGTGCTGCAGGAAAACAGAACTGCAAACCTAAAGATGCCCAACCTTTCAGTTTAGAGTGGAAATCATTAACACACCTGCGATAGCATCATTTACTGAAGCRAGCTGCAAAACCAGAACTGTCTTTGTGAAGGCTCCCACCTTGGCTCACTCCTGCTCTATCTGCATACATCACATATTTTCCACAGTATCTACAGGATCTTATTTTATGAAATTCTATTTTTTCACGATGAAAAGAAGGAATAAAGTGGATTTACCATGGAGAGGAGAGCCAGAGGGGCTGCTGGACAGGCCGGGCACGGGGCTGCAGCGTCCACCCTGTTTGGAGCTCAGCTCCTGCTCGATCTCCTCCAGCCCCGCGCTCTTCTGGAAGCGGCTCATGCGGTTGACAACACGGGGGGACATGTGTGTCCTGACACAGGGCTGGCCCCCGTATGGATTGATGGGGAAAACGTGGGATGTGCCTCTCAGAGTGCTCACCACCACCCAGCGGCAGTCGTGGCTGAAYGAGATGTCCTGGACCTGCAAAACAGGGGGGACACGGCAGTGAGGCCACCAACATCGATGGTGTGGCTTAAA